AGAGAGAGAGAGAGAGAGAGAGAGAGGGGTCATCGTGATGACCAGAGAGAGAGAGAGAGAGAGAGAGAGAGAGAGAGATCTTTTTCGAATGAATATTGCCATATTTCTACACTGGATTCAACGGAGAAATATGGCCAAATTCATTCAAAAAATGCCTCCGCGAGTCTGCGATATTGCCATATTTCTGCGCTGAATCCAGCACAGAAATATTGCAATATTCATTTGAAAAACGTTCTCTCTCTCTCTCTCACACACACACACACACACACACACACAGAGGGAAAAAAAAAAAAAAAGGAGGTCTCGGGTGGAGCCTTGCAGCAATGGGGTACAAGCTGCTATGTGGCACATAAAGACACACACAGACACACACAGAGAGAGAGAGAGAGAGAGAGAGAGAGAGAGAGAGAGAGAGAGAGAGAGAGAGAGATCTTTTTCAAATGAACATTGCCATATTTCTGTGCTGATTCCACCCCAGAAATATGACAATATTCATTCAGAGGCCTTTTCTGAATGATTTTGGCCATATTTCTGGGATATATCCTGCGCTGTCTCCAGCGCAGAAATATGGCAATATTCGTTTGGAAGATCTCTCTCTCTCTCTCTCTCTCTCTCTCTCTCTCACACACACACACACACACACACACACACACACACACACACACACAGAAATATGGCCATCTGGTGTTTTTTTTTGCCTATTCCAACTCAAAGCCTCAAGCGTCCGCCATTGTTTCAAAAAAATAATTTTGGGGGGATGGTTTTTGGTGTGTGGAAAAAAAAGAAAAAAATAATAAATATTGATATATTGATTGTTTTTTTGATTAATTGATTGATTGATCTATCCATTGATTGATTGGTTGATTGGTTGATTGATTGATTGATTGATTGTTTGGTGGAGGAGGGGTCCTCCCTCCCTTCCCCCCGGCACACACACACACACACACACACACACACATAAAAAAACTAGCGCATTCAATTTTATTTTATTTTCTGATCAATCAATCAATCAGTCAATCAATCAATCAACCAATCACAGTCAATGAATCAATGAATCAATGAATCAATGAATCAATCAATCAATTAATCAATCAATCAATCACTCAATTAATGAATCAACCATTCACAGTCAGTCAATCAATCAATCAATCAGTATGTGTGTCAATCAAAAACGGAAAAATAAAGGGAAAAAACAGAGAAAACGGCTTTTGTTTTTCTTTTCATTATTATCTTTTTTTTTTGTTCTTGCACATGCAGGTTAAAAAAAAAATCTAGTTAAAAAAAAAAAAAAAAAAAGTGAATCAAAGAAACATGTGCACCATGATTATCCCACCAGCAATCAGAAAAAAATGAAAAAATAAAAAAGTTCCCTTTTTTCTAATTATGTTTCTTTTGATTTTAATACTTTTTTTTCGTTTTCCATTTTTTAAAAATCACAAAAAACATCAAAAAATAAAAAATAAAAATGGGGATGTAGGGGTCTTAAGAACCTACAACCCCATATTTGTTTTTTGTTCTTTTTTTCCGCCTATTATCCTAGGAATTAAAAATGTCGGAGGCCACACTTGGCCCCGGCCAGCTGAGGGCCATGATCCTGACCGCATGCAGTCAGCCGGCCCGCGGTCATGACCGCGGGTGATACATAGCATAGTGGAATTATGACTCGTTTTTGTGACTCTACTGAGGTTTACCTCCTCTCCCCCCCCCAAAAAAATAAATAAATAAATAAAATGGATCTCCTCAGACTCCACCATGCTTACATCAGTAAGACATTGTACCTTCTGCCGAGGAACAAGGCTAGATTCAGGCTAAAATTTCACAGTGTGAGTGGTGAGTCAGGATAGGCAAGTCAACGTAAGATTTACACTTGACAGGATGAAGTAAGGTCCCACCAACTTGAGGGACTTTATTTTTTTTCGGTCACGAAGACTCACAATAATACGAGGGACTATTTATGGGCAACCACAAGGCGGAGCCAAGCAAGGTGGCTCTAGCCTCTAGGAGAGCTGGCCTAAGTCTAGCTTTAATATGCGTCCATCCAGGGTTCCTACGTACAAGTACTTGTCGTCAGGACTGATCGCCAAGCCCCACATGCCCGCTCTCAGCCGCCTGGCAACGATCTGGTAGGAAAGAGGACTGCCACACGCGGAGTCGAGAGTGATGAGATGCAGCTTGCCGTCATAGTCTGTGAAGAAGACATTACGACCGTCCGATGTAACGGCAATCTGCAGCAGAGTGTACATCGGATTCCTTGGAAAGGGGAAAGAAAGTTCACTTCCGGAGAGAGGTATCAGTTTGCGAGAGGCTATGTGAAGCGCCCACACTCGGTCTTGCTCGCCGTCCAGGAAGTAGAGGCAACTCCCGTCTGCCGTGAAGCTGTAGGGGCCAAACATTGGGTTGCTGATGTTGGTGGGACTGAGCGGAAGGAAAACGGTGGTGTTCAGCGAAGCAGGAAGAAGAGGAGTCGAAGCAGCGACCTCAGCCACGAGAATCCGGGGCGGGACGAGCGAGTCCGCCGAGTCCGCCGAGTCCGCCAAGTACAGTGCCGTGTAGTTGGGACTGAAAGCCAGGCCCCAGATCTTTCCTAGGCTCACTGGAGTGGAGAGCCGAGCTCCAGAGATGACATCCAAGGAGACCACCCAGGATGTGCCGGTTGGTGGAGAGGGGTAGGCAGCCATGATCAGATGGCTCCCGTCAGACGACAGAGCTGCAGTGTTAATGTTGAGCATTGAATCTAGTTCGGTCCTATTTTGAGCAATAGGTGGAGAAGCAGGAGGGGGGCCGGACGGACTGGCGACAGGCCACACGTAACTGAGGACGCTGACCTGTACAGGAGGACTGGGCTGCGATTGCTGAGCTGGCGAAGAGAGGCTGACCATGCTGCCCGAACTGCCTTCGAAGCTGACTGCCATAATTGACTGGAGACTGGTAGTGACGAGCCACCCGCCCATGACACACATGTCACTGACCAGGTAGTACAGCCCGGACGCGTTGGGACGCACGACTATGTTGCGGATCATCGAAAAGCACACCGAAGGAATGGAGAATTTAGTCTCGTTCGCAGCCTTAAGCACTGCATCGGGCACTTGGTGGTCGACCAAAGGTGTGCAGGCCGTGATAACCGAGGCGTTCAAGATGGTGGCGCAGGGAGGGACATCGGGTTCCGCAGGAGAGGACGCAGGTGCGCTACTACCGGTAGCCTGCAAGAACCGCTCACTCGAATGCTTGCCAGCGAAGGGTGATGGGTCCGGTCCTGCGAAGCGGCCCTCCGCTTCAACAGCGGCTTCAGCAGTGCTGATCAGCCCCCCTCCTCCTCCTCCTCTTCCTGGAGCACTGAGTGTCCCGTCCAGACCGCAGCATATAGCCACCATCAGCAGCGGCAGAAGCAACCTCTCACTGACAGAGACTTGTGAGAGAAACAGACATCTAGAGGTGCAGACCGCCGTCCGAGTGCGAGCTGCTTCCCGACTGCTGCGGCCTCCGAGCACAGAAGTTCCGCCTTCAGAAGCTGAACAGTTGACTCCTCGAAGCCCCACCTCTTCATCTCCTTCAACTCCAATCAGGCTCCCAGAACCCCCGCTGCTACCTAGACCGGCCATGGTCGCGGCTGCATGACGAGCAAGAAACTCCCAAGGAAAGAGAAGCACACCGCAGCGAGGTGAAGAACCTCAGGTCCTCAGACGCTTTGCCAAAGCCCGCATACAGTCTGCAACTTCTTCGGTACTAGTATCTCTTCCACCCTCAGCACAACTAATATTGCTCTCTCTCTCTCTCTCTCTCTCTCTCTCTCTCTCTCTCTCTCTCTCCATCTATCTATCTGTGTGTGTGTGTGTGTGTGTGTGTGTGTGTTTGTGTGTGTGTG